CACGCATTTGACAGGTAACAATTCCATCAAATTATTTGAGATATCGCTTCGTTCTAAGTCTCAAAACAGTTCTAAAGTCACCAAACCACGCTGGTAATCGATGGCTATTCAATGTTAACATCTTCAGGAAGACTTCAGCCGTTTCCCGAGAGTTTGGGCATCGTTGCCGTTATTTTTCACGTGTTCTTCTTCCTCCTGTCTGGAGCTCAGCAATTGCATCCTGGAATTATTTGAAAGGTATTTCATGCGGGCTGTGGGGGGTTCTAACAGGCATAAACTGACATCGCTATAGGATAACTGGTAACTTTCACCCTTCAAGGAGGCAGAGCAATGAGAATTTTTTTGTGGCGGTCGTCCAATTTTTGTGGCGGTCGTGGCTGTATTTGTGCACTTCCAAGGCTTTCATTCTGCCTGATACTACTCTGTACTGTATGGGAATCGTTGTTTAGACACATGTAGCTGTCTTATTTGGTAGATCTGCTGTTTTCAATCACTTGGGACACTTTGTCTAGCCTATTTGTCTTTCGTTCGTGCCATCTATCAGTTTTGTGGGGTGCCTTGACCTGTATTTGTGAAGTTCTCGAGTAAAGACCCTAATTCTTGACTGGAGTCACGTCTTGAATTGAATTTGCTGCGTGAGCCCTCGTTCACGCAGTTGTACTTATCGTAATAGTCAATATCTGCTTGCTGGACGGACTAGCGGCTAGAATAGGGATGACCAAATGGTCCAAGTCACAAGTGTGTACTAGTACAGTCGTCCCTCTCTAATCCGGCACTTTATAATCCAGCACCCTCGATAAACCAGCACAATTTTCAGTAGCCAAAATGTCCTCGTCATGCACATTGCAGCAGTAAATCAGATTTGTTAATCCAGCACCCTCCCTAATCCAGCAGATTTTCGTGGCACAAATGGTGCCGGATTATAGAGGGACCACTGTACACGATTATTGTTTCCGTCATCGTGAAATGCTCGTTGTGGAATTGCAGTCGTCTGCCCTTGGCACTGAGGACATGAGGAGAGTTGATTGTTACTTCTGCTCAGCAATGAAGCGATCATCAGCTCTCTTTGTTCTAATTATTGAGAGGACATACCGCGTACCGGCATCGCAATCAAGTAAAGATTAGGCAAACCTCGCCAACCTCCAAAGAGAGTGGAAGATATTTTCTCCAAATGCAAAGACGATCTTTGTGAGTTTGTGACTTGCATTTGCGTGCATACATGAGCAAGTCACGGACCACGGCACGTGCGCGGTTACCATGCCATCTCGAACCGACGCCATCTTTCTAAGTTGCCGCTTCTTGACAGCCGTGAAATTGGCGGTTAGTCCATCGGCCAAGTCTCAAAATCGAAAGTGGTGATGCACTGAGCTTCCAACTAAACGCGACCATACCCAGTACGTAGAGAATATATCAGAGAACACTATTCCGTTTGTTGGACGTGCCGAATTCAGTCCAGGGCGTCGATACGAAGCGTTCTTCGTCGCCGAGTTTTTTACTGTGCGCTCCATTTGAGAATGCGCAGAGTTCTGATCGAGAGTTTTTTGAGCAGATTTTCAAATTTTTGAGGCTGTCAGCTGACAGCTGTCAACCCTAAATGGCACTTAGTATGTGACAGGCAATAGGTTTTGGTGCCTCCGTATGCCTTCTAATAAGTTCTATCTTCCTTCGTTTCACTTCGCTGCTTCGCCCACCACCTCAGGAGATGACAGCGTACCTGCACTAGTCAGCTCTCGCTAACCCTGTCTCTCTTTCTCCGTCTTAGCGCTCGTCATTCGTGTCCTTCTGCTGGGGCGAGCTTGATACTGTTGTGTCGTAGTTTTTAGGCAATAGTGGCTGTTGTTCGCGTGACGATCAGGATTTATGGAGAAAGACGACGACTCGCCAAGTTCCCATGCAGCCACAGACGGCGTAGCAATTCTTACCGCCAACCCTTCGAGCAACGGAACCGGCCTGAGTTGGAAATCATGTCTGTGTAATCGTGCCACGATACGGATGAAACACACAGGCTCACATGTGACGAGATGAAGATAATCTCAACAGGCTGACGGAAATCCAGCAGGCTCACGGGAACGCTGCAGTTATGGTCGGAGACGCGGAGTTATTTAGTCACTGGTAAATGTTGCATCGAGTGCTGTGTGCTCTAACACTATTGTAAAAATCATGAAAAAGCGAAAATAATGCAATGGTGGGGCTGAGTGGTGTTCTGTGGAGGAGACGTCGTTGTCTCAGTATTCAACGCCGGACCCTGTATTTCAAGTCTGTGGTCATGCTCGATCATAAGTTCCTGTATGGCTCCAGTGCCTTCTCAGCATTGTTGGCGGGTAAGCACCTGGATCGTGTCCAAGTAATGCGGCTCTGGTGGCTTGAGGGATGTACGGGTGCTCGCCGTGCACCCCTGCCGGCAATCTGCTAGTGAAGCTTGGTACCTACTGTGTCCGGGAGATTTTCATCCAGAAGCTGATGATCTTCCTAGGCTGGAGCTGCTGCTACTCCTGTGCTAGCCCTCAACCACTGGCGCTCCTACTCGGCTCCAGTGTGGGTTAACCACCCTGCCCGATTTCGCACTGTTGCTATTCCACACCGTCAGCATTTAACTCTGAGGTCAGACCTTGATCCCTCCAACCATATGCTATCTGTCTGTCTGCCTCTCTCTCATACACAGATGTGCACGCATACACACATGCACACACACACACACACACATGCACACACAGTGACACAAACATACACATAGCCAACTTCTCTGTGTTTGGTGATCATCATCTGTTTTCTGATGTGCAAGCTCACCTCTGATGCCGATTACTTCCTTGCTTAGACCCGGTCTGCTATTAGACCAGTCTGCTCTCCCTTCACTCGCTTGTAAATCCTACTTGGAGCAGTAAGGCTGTGTCACTGCTCCTACTGATGTCATTGTTGTGAAAGCAATATCATCGCCATTGGTGGTAATTTTCCACCGTGCATGAATCATTAACAATCATCATCTATGTGTCACGGCCTAACCATCCTCGTAACTCTCCTCATAGTGACTAGTGCTGTACCGTTGAAACCTACTTTGCTTCAGTGTATATTCGCTCCAAAGCTCTTGTTTTGTTGCATAGTGATCTGACGCAGTGTGCTATAGCCTATCGGGTAATATGGATAAGATTAGTACAGTCGGCATCGCCTATCGAGTGACCAGGTACATGTATAAGGATACTAGTACAGATTGCAAGATACTAGTACATGTATACCGGCTTAACGATATCGGAACACAAATAGCACTATGTGTGCAATATTCCTTTCTAAGCTCACGCTGTGCGGTGCAGATAGGTCATGTGTCGTTGCCAACTTGCCGCATGTGCATGTGCAGCAGGAAGGCACCACATGTCGACTACTACTTATACTGTACAGCATTGTGTGCTTACATGCATCTACGGCCTTGTGGATGCAATTGAGTCTCACATACATGTACATGAAATATTGCGTGTAGTGCGGCATCAGGTGTTAACATACAGTGGCTAATTATTTTTCTCGCAATAATGACCGTATTCACCACAAGTGTGTTTATGTCCAGAGCCAACTCAAGTCCTGTATTATTTATGACCATGACAACAAGACTTCCGGGCTGAAATTCTTTTATGACAGGCATGTACACTTGCCTTACAATTGTTCGTGATTGTACGAAGTACATATTCGCTGTTGCATCAATTTTGCACCATTTACATTGTAGTGCCACTAGTGGTATCACCTGCATGCGTATTGAGTCAAACAAGGTTACCTCTGTATAATTATGCTTATCGTGGCTATCAAGAGCTTCGATGCAAATTCCCAGCTGACGAATGGTGTCCAGCTTGTGTTCAGCTCAGCTGGCACTCACAACTCATAATATTTGCGTTCTAGACGCCAGATGAGATGTTTCAGCTACAATATAGACACAACGTCCGTGTTCAAGAAAGCCGTCACTTCATCTTCTGTCCATCCTCAATAGCACGTTCAAGCAAATACGTCTGAAACACAGTAGCGACAATCCAACAGCGGCGACACGCCGTCTTCTCCGAATGAGCTTCTACCGTTCTAATTCAGATTCCCCCAAAAATGTCAAAATAAATAATAGATTTCCACCAAGCTCGCTAGAATCTTGCGAACCGTCAACATGCAGGCATTTCAAGTGTTCGAGCGTGCGTAGATTCTGCTCAGCGGCTCAAGAACATTCGCCAAGCGAAAAAAAGTCGATGAGAAAGATGTAATGGTGGACGAAATTACGAAAATCGGAAGAAGGTATTCGACCCAGTTCGACTATCGATATCCTGGACTGGATTGGCAACGTCCAACAATCGGATTCGTATTCTATGGGGTCTCATGAGCTAGTGTGCCAAAGGGCGTTTAGTTGGAGCTTCAGTGCATCACCTTCGCCGAAAGAGGCCCTTTCTGAGATTTGGCCGATGGACTAGGTGAAGGGTGTCCGATTTTGGGCGAAAATTATTTGGCAGCACTGCATAGGCCACATGACATGGCCATACGTAGAAGGAACGGGTAGATCTACGTGATTGTACGTCACTACCGCTATCATCCCACTGCCGCACTGGCACTGTCGTCAGGATAAGGAGTTGCAAACGATCTTCTCGACTCAAGTACTACCATGACTACTAGTACACTACTACACTGTACTAGTAGTACTAGTGTAGAACTACGTAGTTCTCATCTCTCAGTCTTGGTACAGCCGTCTACATGGTCTACCACAGTACCAGTACCAGTGCCAGTGCCAGTGCGGCAGTGGTCTACAGCAGTACATACACGATACAGGCCTAGGCAGTAGGCTACAGCCTGTACAGCCTACACTACTACAGTCAGACTGTACAGCATGGTACAGGGTCAGGAGTCAGGAGTCGAGTCAGGACTCAACTTCTCAAGCCAAGGACGCACTTATTTTTTCATCACTCGCAGATCGAGTAATGCCTCCTGGTCTGTAGACTAGTACAGTGTGCTAGTAGTAGTAGTAGTGCTGGTACAGACAAGTACATGACTGTTTTATGGTTATGCGGCATTTGCTGGTTCAAGTAATTAGTTGAAGTCCATTCGATTCATATCGCCCTGAACTCAAGTCACTACACTCTCTAGCTCTGTCGGTACTTGTGCAGGTTCTGATGTTTCGATTCTAATAATTTTTATTCTTACCGGTACCTCTCCGAAGATGTCCTCCCCCAAACCGGACGGTACTTCACACGTGAGTGCGCCAGATACTGCGACTGGTGCGCAGGATTCGCGTACAACTAATGTTACTTCAAGCGGAGACAGGCGCTCAGTTTCGGTGACCGGGGATTCGTTAGGTGAGAGCTAGCGAGAGATCGTTTGAAGTACAATGTACATACATGCATGTGTACTTTTATCCCCGAGCCCAAGGGATTAATTATTTGCGAGAACAAAATTTAATCTCTCAAGTGATGCCCACAGTGATGCACAGAATAATGCGACCAGAAAGAGTGAATAATGCGAGGATTGTAATTGTGCGAATGAAACTATACCAAATTAATAATAAACTACAATCGACTCTTGATAACTATACCGAACACCATTGTGCAGGAGAATTAGTTCTTTATAGCTGAAGTTCTTTATAGCCGAAGTTCTTTATAGCCGAAGTTGGTTATAACAGAAATGCACTCACACTATACAAGCAACACAATAATCATGACTGACATATTCATATTCCCCATGACAGTATTAGGGCCCTTACACACTACGTAGAAAACCGCTTTTTTGTTGCGTTCCTGTAAAAGTTGCCATGTCGACTGACGTCATATGGCACGAAATCTAAAAAGTTGCGTAAACGTTTTACTCAGATCTCGGACGGGTGTAGAAGGCTGCTTTTTAGCTTTTTAGCTTTTATGCCTTCCCGCGCTTTCGGACTTCAACTTCTTGTTGGTGTTTTTGCTGTTTGGTGCTGTGTGGATTTCCGTGTTTCAATTTCAGCTGTCCATTGGACTTTTCGCCTGCTTCTGAAATTCTCGTACCTGAACTCGTGTTGTTCAAGCCGTAGTAGACTCGATCTTGTTTGATTGCTGAGCGCGACACGATGCCGAAAATCCAGTGCACAGAAGAAATGGAGGCGAAGCTCATGGAGCTGTGGGCGATATATCAAAAAACAAGGCGTTCCAAACTCGTTCTCAGGGTGAGCTGTCCACAAGTTGCGACCAATTCTGTATTTGACGGTACCATTCCGCAACAGCATGTTGAGCATCGTCGTGACCATGAAATTTGAGCAACTGCGATCAGTCATCTAGAAAATATCAAGAGCAGGACCGCCATCAGACGACTTCACTAGCTTCTGCAGGTCCTGCAATATCATGGCGGCAACAATTTTACGTCGCCGCTTTCTCCTTGCCGGAGTCAACCTGAGCTCCATGGGCATGGCTCCAACACAAGATGCAGAACGAAATCGAAGAAGCACACACAGCACTCGTTCTGAGAGCAGAACATTTCATCCGAACTGCACTACATCAGTACAGTCATGTACGTAAAAAGCAGATCACCTGGCAGTGTGCAACTGCACTTGATCAGGCTGGCGCATACGCAACGTATGCTCAAGTTAGTTGCGTTTTACATGTACGTAGTGTGTAAGGGCCCTAACTGCACTTGGTTTATATGGAGCCCTACAAGATTTGGTTCGTTATAAACGAAAACGGTTCGCTATAAAGAGTCATTTTTGTATGGATTCTAAGAGGGACATGGACACTGGTTTGCTATATCACGAAATTCGCCAAATGCGAGCTCGTTATAAGCAGAGTCGACTGTACAAACACCCAATGACTCGCCAACTCCATTGCAGTGATTTCCAAGTTGCCGCCAGCACGTGTGAGTGACCGTGACAGTTAGACAGAGTACTGTAAGACGATATTTTAACGTCGACTATAGTTAACGATCTCCGGATTTTTGTAGGTTAGCGAGGTGAAATGCTAACGAATTCTGTCGGAAAAACTGGCAAATGACTGTACATATATAATTTTGCACGTAACGACTTCAAAATTAATGTTAACGAATTGTTTAAATTTGTTAAATCGTTAGAATTAAATGTTCATACAAAAGAAAAAGGACCAAGGAACTACAGGTTACGCTATACTGTCCACTAACACCACCAGTTACTAAACAATCAGCTCACGCGATAACGTTGCATTCTCTTTTCTTGGCTCTCCATCCGAGTCAATTATATGTTTGTTAACATTACTGGTCTTACAGCATAGCACAGTACTACCGGGTGCCGAAGAACTGGCGTCAGCCTCGTATGCGGAACCCCTCTTATTTTCATGTACAGCAGTCTATGCGCAGTAGAGTAGAATCACCTGGCATATATGGCTATGCTGTGCTTGGCGAGATTCTAGCAACGCCGTTCTTGGGCACTGCGTTCTCCTGCACACGCCACACACGCCAGTACTGTACTATGCAATTACATGTAGTATGCAGTAGCGAATCTTCCGGAGTGTTAGCCGCACACCCCTTTTCGGGTCCGAAATTCCTATTTTTGTTGACACTCGGTCTATAAGCCGCATGTCAGACTCTTGAATTTGTTGGCACCCTAATGTAATTGGTATCGGTAATATACCGGAGGGTGTACCCAGTGTGCTGACAGTGCTCAACACCACGGCGGAGGATGTACCCAGTGTGCTGACAGTGCTCAACACCATGGCGGAGGGTGTACCCAGTGTGCTGACAGTGCTCAACACCACGGCGGAGCATGTACCCAGTGTGCTGACAGTGCTCAACACCATGGCGGAGGGTGTACCCAGTGTGCTGACAGTGCTCAACACCATGGCGGAGGATGTACCCAGTGTGCTGACAGTGCTCAACACCACGGCGGAGGGTGTACCCAGTGTGCTGACAGTGCTCAACACCACGGCGGAGCATGTACCCAGTGTGCTGACAGTGCTCAACACCATGGCGGAGCATGTACCCAGTGTGCTGACAGTGCTCAACACCATGGCGGAGGGTGTACCCAGTGTGCTGACAGTGCTCAACACCACGGCGGAGCATGTACCCAGTGTGCTGACAGTGCTCAACACCACGGCGGAGCATGTACCCAGTGTGCTGACAGTGCTCAACACCACGGCGGAGCATGTAGCCAGTGTGCTGACAGTGCTCAACACCATGGCGGAGGGTGTACCCAGTGTGCTGACAGTGCTCAACACCATGGCGGAGGGTGTACCCAGTGTGCTGACACTGCTCAACACCATGGCGGAGGGTGTACCCAGTGTGCTGACAGTGCTCAACACCACGGCGGAGGGTGTACCCAGTGTGCTGACAGTGCTCAACACCACGGCGGAGGGTGTACCCAGTGTGCTGACAGTGCTCAACACCACGGCGGAGCATGTAGCCAGTGTGCTGACAGTGCTCAACACCATGGCGGAGGGTGTACCCAGTGTGCTGACAGTGCTCAACACCATGGCGGAGGGTGTACCCAGTGTGCTGACACTGCTCAACACCATGGCGGAGGGTGTACCCAGTGTGCTGACAGTGCTCAACACCACGGCGGAGGGTGTACCCAGTGTGCTGACAGTGCTCAACACCACGGCGGAGGGTGTACCCAGTGTGCTGACAGTGCTCAACACCATGGCGGAGCATGTACCCAGTGTGCTGACAGTGCTCAACACCATGGCGGAGGATGTACCCAGTGTGCTGACAGTGCTCAACACCATGGCGGAGGGTGTACCCAGTGTGCTGACAGTGCTCAACACCATGGCGGAGGGTGTACCCAGTGTGCTGACAGTGCTCAACACCACGGCGGAGCATGTACCCAGTGTGCTGACAGTGCTCAACACCATGGCGGAGGGTGTAGCCAGTGTGCTGACAGTGCTCAACACCACGGCGGAGGCAGAGCGTAATACAGAACAGAACAACAAGGACAATCAAGGCTTGTTTTCTGCGACTTGAAGTTTCATGCTCTCGCAATCATCAGGCAGCACATTGTTGTTCTGTTCTGTATCGGTAGTATAAGATGTTACCAATGGGTAAAACGTTGTCTTTCCCCCTTGTCAATGGACTAGTATATGTTGGGCTGGGGATGTGGTGTTGGCTTGAGTTGACTGATGTGGTCTTTGAACACAGGTCAGTGTATAAATATGTTGGGTTACGGCGTGGGTCTGAGGTGGTCTTTCACTGCAGGTCAATGTAGGGGCATGGTGTAGGATAGCGTGGCTGGACTCTCAGGATTTAGTCACAAGTTGTGAACCTGACGAAGGCAATTTGCCGAAACGTTGTGATATTGTGAAACGAGTTGAATTATTGCAGTGTTAATGGAAAAGAGCGTGCGGGCTCTACTCCTAACTGTTTATGAAACTGCTGGAAGCCTCCTCACTTTTACTGAATGGTGACGTGTTATTGTTATAGGATTCAACAGCATGTGACAGTGAGACTCAGAGTGTTTCAACTCACTACTGATGACAGTGCATCTCAACTGCGTATGGATGTTAGGATTTGTCAACTGCATATGCGTGTGAGGGTGTTTCAACTTCAAAGGCTGTTCAACTGCATGCGGATGTGAGGGTGTTTTGAAAACTGCATGCGGATGTGAGGGTTAAGAGTAGAGCCCACACGCTCTCTTCCATTAACACTCTGCAGTAATTCAACTCATTTCACAATAATTATTCCAACGTTTCGGCAAATTGCCTTCATCAGGTTTACAATAGGATGTGAGAGTGTTTTAAAACTGCATGCGGATGTATGTGAAGGTGTTATGTGAACGTGTTTCAACTGCATGCGCGGATGTACGGGTTTTTCAACGGTGTGCAGATGTGCGGGTGTGTTCATAACTGCATGTGCATGCGAGGACGTTTTGAAACTGCATGCAGATGCGAGGGTGTATCTAACTGCGCGTGGATGCGAGGGTATATTGAAACCTGCATGCAGATGCGGGGGGGGGGGGGGGGGGGTGTCTAACTGTGCGCGGATGCGAGGGTATATATTTAAAAATGCACGCGGATGTGAGGGTGGTTCAACTGATGTCCTTGCTGACATTGTTGTCACTCTTTGTCTCACTGCATCGCAGACAAACCTGTCCCGGTCACCACTGTAGATCGAACAGTCACTGCCAGTGCTACAGACCAACATGTATCCGTCACGTCCACAGATCAGCCAGCACCGGCCAGTACTCCGGATCAGGTTGTCCCCATCGTCGCCGATAGTGTCCCGATGTCACTACGGACCCGCAGCACACTGGACATCCTCTCTCTGGCCTGCAGTCTGCCCCATGTCAATCATGTCTTTGAGAAGCTGCCGCAGCTCGAGAACAGACAGGCACACACACTTGCAGTCACCCTGCTCAGCCGTTACAAGGAACAGGTACGTATCGAAATGAGTGAGGGAGAGACAGACAGACAGACAGAGACAGGGAGGTAGAGACAGACAGAGACAGAAAGAAAGAGAGAGGGAGAGGCTGAAGGAGCGAGAGTGTGTATGTATGTGTGTTTTTTATTGTGTGTGTGTGTGCGCGCGCATGCGTGTGTGCATGCATATATGTGTACATGTGTGTGTGTGGGCGTGCGGTCACGCACCTGTTTGCGCGTACGCCTCTCCAAGTGTACAGTACGAGCTTGTAGACGCTGTGATATCTCTACAGTAGAGTTTAGTGCTTGTGTGGGTGCATGTGGAGCTGGCATCATCTCGGGATGTATGCTAATCGAATATGTTGTAGATGCATGTACATGTACAACATGCTTTTCTCAAACCCCTCTTCCGCCATATGTGCACCGACCACCGCAGTACAGTAAAACCGGTGACTAACGACCGTCCCTTGGAGCCGGAGAAAGCGGTCTTTAGTGGCAGGGGGTCCTTAGAGGTTTGCACCGCACAACCATAATATATGAATGTGAGACCGCCACGGTTCCTGGCAAAGTGGTCTGTAGTACCAGGCTGGTCGCTAGTCACGGTGGTCTTTAGTTACAGGTTTTACTGTAGTACCAGGCTGGTCGCTAGTCACGGTGGTCTTTAGTTACAGGTTTTACTGTAGTACCAGGCTGGACACTAGTCACGGTGGTCTTTAGTTACAGGTTTTACTGTATATGCAGAAAAATGGAGTACAGAAAGTGCTAACAAAAAGTACACTAATACCTCGTTTATCCTGGCGGGCCGGGGACCGGGCACTGGTCGTAACTCCCAATCACATGAAAAAAAATGTTGATGGTGAAAGGCCATAGATATGGTACAATGACATCACTATTTCCACAGAAAGTGACAAAGGAGTAGTAACATTTCTACCGAAAGTCTCCCACGGCGTGCCCGGTAGACCGAAATGCCCGTGACTTCAGTGTCCGGATAACCAAGGTATGATTGTACAATAACGCGCATCACTGCACGCACAGCAGAAAACAGTTGACAAAAGCACGGTTGCGCATGCACTGATGCCACGTGTGCATTATTGTGCATGCTTGTGTGCGTTTTCTACTATTCAGGGAGAACAATACACGTCATTGCTGAATGACATTGCAGCTGGCAAGGTGGTGGACCCACGAGACCGAGCACTGACCTTTGCCCTAAGTATGTAACCACTGACTGTGGTGTCTGTACGTGTGTGTATGGGTGTGTGTGGAGGGGGGGGGGGGGGGGGGGGTGCGTGCGTGTGCGTGCGTGGATTCCAGCTAGTTTGGTTGGTGAGTACACCTTTTCCAGATAGGGTTGGGTATGTTGCAAGCAGGCTCGGCTGCTTGAAGGTGTAATGTTGTATCTGCCACCTTTGTTGGTTCCAGGGTTCAAATACTGTCTATTTGAAGTATGCATACCTGTTAACCATGGACTACTTCTGGCTAGATTAACTGTAATCATGGTACTAGTGAAGCTCGTATCAGATCCACTCTGATTTAGCCACCCACGCTAGTAGCAAGTATTACCTACACTGGGGGAAGGGGTAACTGCAGTTGGATCCCGGGACGGATACCCTGATGCCGTCAATCCTATTTACAAGTTTTGGCAGTGAGCAAATACAAGTTTGTGTGTGTGTGTGGGTGTATGTGTGTGTTTGTGTGGGTGTGTGTGTGTTTGTGTGGGTGTGTGTGTGTGCCTGGTTGAGTGTGTGTGTGTGTGTGTGTGTGTGTGTGTGTGTGTGTGTGTGTGTGTGTGTGTGTGTGTGTGTGTGTGTGTGTTCTTCCATGCCCGCAGGCGGTGGAACTTACGGGGTAGTGCAACAAGGCACGAGAAATACGGTCAACGTTGACGGAAACCTGGTGCAGGATGAAGACGTGTCCATTATGCAGCAAGGCGTCGACAACACACTCAACATTAACGTCTCCATCGACGCATTGTCCGTTGCAGGCGGGGAAGGCTATCGTCCTGCATCCACCAAGGATGCACGCGAATCGATCACGACCGAATTGATGCGCTTTGTGCAGCGCTTCTCCAGAGGTGGTGGACTAGGTACGGTTGGTGGGCTTGTCAAGGGGGAACTACCCCCCCCCCCCCCCCATGTCTGCTCAATCTTGCTGCCCCCCCCCCTCTCTCTCTCTCTCTCTCTCTCTTTCTCTCTGTCTCTCTGTCTTCCTCTTTGAATCGTGTGATTTGTCACAGGTCTGTTGGGCATCGCGTTTGCTAAGTGTGTGTGTGTGTGGGGGGGGGGGGGGGGGTATGTGTATCATCGTCTCAGCGATGATCATGTGTGAATGGATTTCCATCACTCACGCTACTGACACTACTGTATTGAACGAACCACGTTTTCCACCAGCTTCCTTGTGATTTAATGGAATGCATCGTTTCATGCTCTAAGTTTACTCTTTCTATCGAGCGAGCCCCCCCCCCCCCCCCCCCCCCCTCTCCCCAGCACTTCAGATGGTTGACCGCACCACACTAAATAATGTGTGTGTGTGTGTGTATGCACACGCTCGTGGGTGCTTGAATGGGCATGCATGTACGTGGGTGTGACGTAGTGTGACGTTATCCTGGCCTGGTGTCTGCCGCTTGGGTTAGTGAACGCCAGAACACAGTCTTGCCATGGGTGCATGCGTGTACTTTGCAAATGTTATCGTTTTCTTCTCACTTCCACAATCTTATCTCCCCTCTCTCCTTCTCTCTCTCTCTTTCTCTCTCTTTCTCTTTCTCTCTTTCTCTTTCTTTCTCTCTCTCTCTCTCTCTCTCTCTCTTTCTTTCTCTCTCTCTCTCTCTCTCTCTCTCTCTCTCTCTCTCTCTCTCTCTCTCTCTCTCTCTCTCTCTCTCTCTCTCTCTCTCTCTCTCCCTCTCTCCCTCTCTCTCTCTCTCTCCTCTCTCTCTCTCTCTCTCTCTCTCTCTCTCTCTCTCTCTCTCTCTCTCTCTCTCTCTCTCTCTCACTCTCTCTTGCTCTCCCTCTTTCTTGTGTACACCCTATATTTTCTTTCTTGTTCTGTTGGCATTCCTACACAGGCTCACAGCAGGATCACTCCTCACCAGTCACTGGAACACCAGTGGACGACACTCCTGGCGAGGGAGATGCGAACGATCGCGGCAACTACACCGTCCGTCCCTCCTCGCTCTTCTCCCTCGGCCAGAACTGCAAGCAGGTGATGGAGAGGATGCTAGGACTCGGCGATGCCAGCCCGGTGAAAGTGAGCAACGTCCAAGCGCTAGGCGAGGATCGCATACGCATCACGTTGACGGAGAAGGACCCGGCACCAGCTTACTTGGGTATGGCATGCACAAGCCTGATGCAGCCTGTGATCATTGTTAAATTTGCTCCACCTCCAGCACATGCACTCTCTGGCCAACCGCATTCATACCAGCAACATGACTCTAAGTCGCCGATCATGGCAAATGCAACTTCCTCTATACACTGAATCATGTAACTGTTATGAAGTACAATGTGATCATTGTGCCTATTTGAAATGTCAGTGGACCAGACCACATCTCAAGAAAGGCCAACACATGCACTGAATTCACTGAATTCACTGAATTCGGGCCTTTCCAAGTATGCCTTTGGTTAATTCCAGTGGTGTGCACGGGTAGTCGGGTACCCGTGCTACCCGTGAGGACCTCGGGTAGACAGGTACCGAATAGTACCCGAAAACCCGAAGTCGCAGATGACATCATGTACAGTGCACGTGTACAAATAATTCACGCATGTCTACCCAGTGCGCAAGGGAAGGGGCCGGTGTGCATTGTGGTCTTACCATGGAAACATTACCCGATCGGGTACCCGTGCTACCCGTGGAAAACTACCCGGACCAGATACCCGAAGACAATGCTACCCGACTCAGCCCTAGTTAATTATGCCTTTGGTTGAGGCCGACCCCCCCCTCTCTCATGGCTTGAACTACAGTAAAACCTGAAACTAATGACCACCCCTTAGGACCAGAAAACTGGTCTTTAGTGGCAGGTGGTCCTTAGTTAGAGGCTTTCACCGCACAACCATTTTATGAATGTGAGACCGTCTGTGCCGGGCAAAGTGGTATGTAGTACCAGGCTGGTTGCTAGTCACGGTGGTCTTTAGTTACAGGTTTTACTGTAGTAGCAGGCTGGTTGCTAGTCACGGTGGTCTTTAGTTACAGGTTTTTACTGTAGTACCAGGCTGCTTGCTAGTCACGGTGGTCTTTAGTTACAGGTTTTACTGTAGTACCAGGCTGGTTGCTAGTCACGGTGGTCTTTAGTTACAGGTTTTACTGTAGTACCAGGCTGGTTGCTAGTCACGGTGGTCTTTAGTTACAGGTTTTACTGTAGTACCAGGCTGCTTGCTAGTCACGGTGGTCTTTAGTTACAGGTTTTACTGTAGTACCAGGCTGGTTGCTAGTCACGGTGGTCTTTAGTTACAGGTTTTACTGTAGTACCAGGCTGGTTGCTAGTCACGGTGGTCTTTAATTACAGGTTATACTGTAGTACCAGGCTGCTTGCTAGTCACGGTGGTCTTTAGTTACAGGTTTTACTGTAGTACCAGGCTGGTTGCTAGTCACGGTGGTCTTTAGTTACAGGTTTTATTGTAGTACCAGGCTGGTTGCTAGTCACGGTGGTCTTTACTTACAGGTTTTACTGTAGTACCAGGCTGGTTGCTAGTCACGGTGGTCTTTACTTACAGGTTTTACTGTAGTACCAGGCTGGTTGCTAGTCACGGTGGTCTTTAGTTACAGGTTTTACTGTAGTACCAGGCTGGTCGCTAGTCACGGTGGTCTTTAGTTACAGGTTTTACTGTAGTACCAGGCTGGTCGCTAGTCACGGTGGTCTTTAATTACAGGTTTTACTGTAGTACCAGGCTGGTCGCTAGTCACGGTGGTCTTTACTTACAGGTTTTACTGTAGTACCAGGCTGGTTGCTAGTCACGGTGGTCTTTAGTTACAGGTTTCACTGTAGTACCAGGCTGGTTGCTAGTCACGGTGGTCTTTAGTTACAGGTTTTACTGTAGTACCAGGCTGGTCGCTAGTCACGGTGGTCTTTAGTTACAGGTTTTACTGTAGTACCAGGCTGGTCGCTAGTCACGGTGGTCTTTAGTTACAGGTTTTACTGTAGTACCAGGCTGGTTGCTAGTCACGGTGGTCTTTAGTTACAGGTTTTACTGTAGTACCAGGCTGGTTGCTAGTCACGGTGGTCTTTAGTTACAGGTTTTACTGTAGTACCAGGCTGGTTGCTAGTCACGGTGGTCTTTAGTTACAGGTTTTATTGTAGTACCAGGCTGGTTGCTAGTCACGGTGGTCTTTAGTTACAGGTTTTACTGTAGTAGCAGGCTGGTTGCTAGTCACGGTGGTCTTTAGTTACAGGTTTTTACTGTAGTACCAGGCTGCTTGCTAGTCACGGTGGTCTTTAGTTACAGGTTTTACTGTAGTACCAGGCTGGTTGCTAGTCACGGTGGTCTTTAGTTACAGGTTTTACTGTAGTACCAGGCTGGTTGCTAGTCACGGTGGTCTTTAGTTACAGGTTTTACTGTAGTACCAGGCTGCTTGCTAGTCACGGTGGTCTTTAGTTACAGGTTTTACTGTAGTACCAGGCTGGTTGCTAGTCACGGTGGTCTTTAGTTACAGGTTTTACTGTAGTACCAGGCTGGTTGCTAGTCACGGTGGTCTTTAATTACAGGTTATACTGTAGTACCAGGCTGCTTGCTAGTCACGGTGGTCTTTAGTTACAGGTTTTACTGTAGTACCAGGCTGGTTGCTAGTCACGGTGGTCTTTAGTTACAGGTTTTATTGTAGTACCAGGCTGGTTGCTAGTCACGGTGGTCTTTACTTACAGGTTTTACTGTAGTACCAGGCTGGTTGCTAGTCACGGTGGTCTTTACTTACAGGTTTTACTGTAGTACCAGGCTGGTTGCTAGTCACGGTGGTCTTTAGTTACAGGTTTTACTGTAGTACCAGGCTGGTCGCTAGTCACGGTGGTCTTTAGTTACAGGTTTTACTGTAGTACCAGGCTGGTCGCTAGTCACGGTGGTCTTTAATTACAGGTTTTACTGTAGTACCAGGCTGGTCGCTAGTCACGGTGGTCTTTACTTACAGGTTTTACTGTAGTACCAGGCTGGTTGCTAGTCACGGTGGTCTTTAGTTACAGGTTTCACTGTAGTACCAGGCTGGTTGCTAGTCACGGTGGTCTTTAGTTACAGGTTTTACTGTAGTACCAGGCTGGTCGCTAGTCACGGTGGTCTTTAGTTACAGGTTTTACTGTAGTACCAGGCTGGTCGCTAGTCACGGTGGTCTTTAGTTACAGGTTTTACTGTAGTACCAGGCTGGTCGCTAGTCACGGTGGTCTTTAGTTACAGGTTTTACTGTAGTACCAGGCTGGTCGCTAGTCACGGTGGTCTTTAATTACAGGTTTTACTGTAGTACCAGGCTGGTCGCTAGTCACGGTGGTCTTTACTTACAGGTTTTACTGTAGTACCAGGCTGGTTGCTAGTCACGGTGGTCTTTAGTTACAGGTTTTACTGTAGTACCAGGCTGGTTGCTAGTCACGGTGGTCTTTAGTTACAGGTTTTACTGTAGT